ATATTGTCCTATCATAACAAACCATACATCAATGGAAAGATTATTTATTCAGCTTTCAGCTGATGTATAAATCTACATTTCGAAAAATTGACCTTTCTGACTGGTTTTGTGCTCCAGGGTCACATATGTCGATTTGTCAGCACACAGACACATTTGCATCCTGTTGAAATGTTTTATTGTTCATAAATGAATGTTTCAGTGTAACAATTTTGGCTTCCAGCGAAGTTAAAAGCAGTGAAAAGGATTTGCGTGCTTTGCAATTTCAAGATCTCGCAGCAAAAGAGAACGTGAAGTGACACAGACACGTAACAAAAGGAAAAACCGGTGAAGCTGCCCTGGCGATTCTCGAACCCGGTGTTTATTTGACATCTGGTGGTGGATCTACAACGCCGGCGTGTGAATATGACCAATAACAGAGCAGGCTTATAAAGGACAAGTGAGCAGGATTAGTGTGTCGTGTCAGTGTTGGGTCCTGGCGCAGCCGCAGGGATCGCCGCACTTCCTCTTCCTGTCCCAGAGCGAGCGCAGCTCCTGCGCCGAGTGCTGCGGCGACGACAGCATGTCCACGTAACACTCCTTCTCACACAGCCAGCCTGAATCCTGACAAACACACACTACATTACAACCAATTCTAATCCTACAGTCCCATGGACTGATCAAATGCAAACCTTCAATGCAATGCAAGCCGCTTTGGTTGAAAGTATCTGCCAAATGCATGAATGTAAACTCTATTTATGGACAAATAACCATAAACAGGGATGGCAACTGCTGCACAAATCAACATTGAACAGGCTGCAGGACACGCAACAAGCAATCTGTGTTCAGCCCCATAAAAATAGAATTTACAGTCATATATGCTGGAGTTTTATTTCTTCTTTTGTTAAAGTACTTTATTGGCATGATTGTGTTTACATATAATATTGCCAAGGCATTATACACAAAAAGTAATGACATGAAAAAGAAATATACCATATTACAATAACAAATAATAAAAAAGGTATTAAAATAATGTGCTAAGTAATTAAGATATTTAATTATATATATATATATATATATATATACATATGAAAGATTATCTCTGTCTTGATACATGTTTAATTTAAATATTATATTTTAATATATAAGTACATATAGTATAGAAATATTTTAATATAGAAGTATATACATAAAGTAATATATATATATAGTATAGTATATATGTATTTTTGTTCATAATGTCTTAAATGTTTATTTGATATATTTTTAATAAATTTATATAATTTTATAGATATAAATTTATAGATTTTCCATACATATTTTAATATATATATATATATAACACTGAAATACATACATATATATATATATATATATATATATGTGTGTGTGTGTGTGTGTGTGTGTGTGTGTGTATTTTAGTATTATATATTATTAAAATATATATATTTTATATATTAAAATATTAGCACATTATTTTAATACATTTTTTATAATTTGTTATTGTAATATGGTATATTTATTTTTCTTGTCATAATTGTTTGTGTATAATGCATTGGCAATATTATATAAAAACACAATATATATAAATTATATATATATAATTTCAGTAATTTCTTTTATAATTGCAGTATTTTTTTGTATGCATGTTTTTGATTTTATATACATATTAATTCATTTTAAATAAATAAATAAAATCCCAAATAAACATTTATCAAGACATTATGAACAAAACAAAAAAAACTGAAATATTAAACGGGTAGCCTTTGATTATATTGATCGAAGCAACAGTAGGTTTCTGAGGGTGTGCAGCTGAACATGAACTTCTTTTTCACCTGATATTTGTTTGGCCCGACAGCAGCCATCCAGATGCCCATGCTCACATCCTCTCCCTGCAGAAACACACATTTACATCCTCTGAACCCATTCTGCAGATGATCCCATTAGACTCAGTGTCCAGGACAAAAGAATGAATGAAATCCTTACTGATGTATCTGCAAGCACTGATCTCATCTTTGCTAAACTCTAAAGAAATCATCACTTATCAACAGACAGAGGTGTCACACATGCTACTGTGGATTTCAGTTCATAGGAGTTTTTTATTATAATACAGCTGCATGCTGGGTAATTCCAACAAACAGTGCTTTTCGTCAAGCCCATCATGTTTTGATCTGTAGGTATCGTGAGGAGAGGACGGTACCTGGTAAGCTTTGAGATGTTGAGCGTTGCAGGCTAGCCACTGCACCAGATCCCTGGACACCACGTATCCAGATCCACAGGCGAAGGCCGGATACACTGGACTCGAGTACTCCAGCTCCTGCCATTTCCCCACACGATCCACGGCCCAGTTCTGCCTGAAACTGACCAACAACAGCCATGAGATCAAACATCTCTGATGATAAACCAATTATTCTTTTGCCAGAAAACGCTTCTCACTTATATTTTTAGATATATATTAAAAAAATCATAGAAAATATATAAAAATGTTATATAAAACAACTATAACAAATATATAACAATTTATATTTTTAGATAAGAATAACAAGCATACGTCCTTTCAACATATTATTCTTTTGCACGAAAATGGTTCTCACTTATATTTCTATATAATTTCTATATTTAAAAATATCACTTATATAGTTATAAATTATATAAATATATAAAACTGTAATATAAAATATATTTAAAAAAATTATAATTTTAGAAAATAGGCGTACTTTTTCTAAAAAAGTATTACTTTACCAGAAACCTACATTTTTAGATATATAAAAAGTTATCTAAATATATAAAATATATACAACTTTAATATTGAATATATTTAAAAATTCTAATTTTAGATAACAAGCATACTTCCTTACAACAAATTATTTTACCAGAAAATGTTCGTCATTCATATTTTAGATATATATAAAAATTATATAAATATATAAAACTGTAATATAAAATACATATATTTAAAAAAAAAATCATAATTTTAGATAACAGGCATACTTTCTTTCTACAAATTATTCTTTTTACCAGAAAATGATTGTCACTCATATTTTTTTATATATAAGAAATATATAAAAATGTAATATAAAATTTATTACAAATTTATCATTTTTAAAAACAAGCATTATTTTTTATTATTCTTTTACCAAAAAATTATTGTTACAATGTAATATAAAACATTTTTTTTTAAATGCATTGCACTGAAAACTTTTATGATACTACCAAAAGCATGAATTACACTGATATAAGTTTAAAGTGTTTATTTAGAGCAATCAAACTTGAGACTAACCGTCAGGACGAATCTATAACTCTAACTCTCTCTCATTTCTTCTATTGTACTGAGTTAGGTGGGATGTTTTGAGAACAGAAGCCATCACTCACTTTCCCCACCACAGGCTGCTCTGTGAGAGGCGTCTGCGCTCCGTCTTCAGC